GTGTGCGGAAAAAAAAAGGTTCAATCGGTCAATTTCAACTTCTAGCGGGGAAAAAAAAGGTCTTGCAAACTTGGAATTGATTGAACTTTTTAGTCCCATCCAGTCTGCCGTTACCACTGCAGTCACGCCCACCCAATGGGCCACACCCACCTGGCACTTGACGATGCATAAATGGGTTTTGGGTTGCAGTTTAGGCACTCGGTCTCTAAAAGGTTCGCCATCATTGGCATAGGGCACAGGTCGGCAACCTGCGGCTCCGGAGCCGCATGCAGCTCTTTGAGCCTTCCCCTGTGGCTCCCAGCCTCCTCTGCCTTTGCAGAGAGAGACAGAGAGAGGCAATTTCGCTTCGCTTCTCTCTCTCTCTCTCTCTCTCTCTCTCTCTCTCTCTGTGTGTGTAAAAAAAAGAGAGTGTACTCACAGTGTTATCCGAGGAGCTGAAAAGCTTACTGGGTGGAGCTCCTCCCTTTGCTGCGTCTCTGCAGGAAGCAGGAAGCAGGAAGGGCAGGAGAGAGCTAGCTAGCCTAGCTAGGCTGACTCAGGAATTCTGGGAGTTGAAGTCCATGAGTCATAAAAGAGACGAGGTTGCTTGTTGGACAACAGCTTGAAGCTTGCCAGGTGAGCAGCAGATAGGAGAGGGGGGAGAAAGAGAGAAAGAGAGAGAGGGAGGGAGAGAGAGAGAGAGAGAGGAAAGAGAGAGAGAAAGAGAGTGGGGGAAGAGGAGTGGCAGACCAAGGGCAGATAGAGAGGGAGGGAGAGAGAGAGACAGAGAGAGACCCTTTTGACATCTAAAATGAAGATAACACTGCATATATCCTTTTTTACCTTTATTATGGGTGTGTGTGTGTTTGTGTGTTTGTGTGTGTTTGTGTATACATATATACACACACACATACATACACACACAAACACACACACATACACAAACACACACACTGATAATAAAGGTAAAAAAGGATATATGCAGTGTTATCTTCATTTTAGATATCAAAATGGTTTTGTGGCTCCCAGTGTTTTGTTTTTGGTGAGAAACGGGTCCAAGTGGCTCTTTAAGTGTTTTGGGTTGCCTACCCCTGGCATAGGGTCTCTGTACTGGAAGACCTCCAGGTTCCTTCTGATGCTGATGGAGGAGGAGGAGGAGGAAGAGGAGGAGAAGGAGGAAGAGAAGGAAGAGGAGGAGGAATATTAATACTAATTTGGGCCTTTGAATGGGCCTTCACTCATACTTCTGAGCAACGAGATCTAAAATTGACTTTTCTTTTCAAGGATTGCCGTGCTTCTTCTGCAGGATTCTACAGTTGGCAGCCATTTAAGCGGTAGATAATTTCACATTCTTATTAATATAAGTGGCACGTCTTCAAGTACGACTTGGAGAAATCAAAGCAAGCAGATGATAAAGAGGCCATCTTGGTTAAAATTGGTCCTCTCTCAACAGAGGGGGTGGGATACAACAGTCACTTGTCTGAAATGGTACAGGGGGCTGGACTGGAAGACCTCCAAGGTCCCTTCCAGATTCTATTCTATTCTATTCTATTCTATTCATTCTAATTCTAATTCTATTCTCCTATCCTATAGTCTATTCTACTCTACTCTACTCTGTTCTATCCTATTCTAATCTAGTCTCTATTCTATTCTATTCTATTCTATTCTATTCTATTCTATTCTATTCTATTCTATTCTATTCTATTCTATTCTATTCTATTCTACTCTCTATTCTAATTCTAATTCTATTCTATTCTCCTATCCTATAGTCTATTCTATTCTACTCTGTTCTACTCTACTCTACTCTATTCTATTCTATTCTATTCTATTCTATTCTATTCTATTCTATTCTATTCTATTCTATTCTATTCTACTCTACTCTCTATTCTAATTCTAATTCTATTCTATTCTCCTATCCTATAGTCTATTCTACTCTACTCTGTTCTATTCTATTCTATTCTATTCTATTCTATTCTACTCTACTCTCTATTCTAATTCTATTCTATTCTCCTATCCTATAGTCTATTCTACTCTACTCTACTCTACTCTATTCTATTCTATTCTACTCTACCCTACTCTCTATTCTAATTCTAATTCTATTCTATTCTATTCTCCTATCCTATATCTATTCTACTCTACTCTACTCTACTCTATTCTATTCTATTCTATTCTACTCTACTCTCTATTCTAATTCTAATTCTATTCTATTCTCCTATCCTATAGTCTATTCTATTCTATTCTATTCTATTCTATTCTATTCTATTCTATTCTATTCTATGCTATTCTATTCTATTCTACTCTATCCTACTCTCTATTCTAATTCTAATTCTATTCTATTCTCCTATCCTATAGTCTATTCTATTCTATTCTATTCTATGCTATTCTATTCTATTCTATTCTATTCTATTCTATTCTACTCTTCCCTACTCTCTATTCTAATTCTAATTCTATTCTATTCTCCTATCCTATAGTCTATTCTACTCTACTCTACTCTACTCTACTCTACTCTACTCTACTCTACTCTACTCTATTCTATTCTATTCTGTTCTGTTGTTCTGTTCTATCCTATCCTATCCTATCCTATCCTATCCTATCCTATCCTATCCTATCCTATCCTATCCTATCCTAGTCTAGTCTAGTCTAGTCTCCTATTCTCTATTCTATTCTGTCCTGTCCTGTCCTATTCTTTCCTATCACACCACCTATAGTATCTCCTGTTTACAACACAGTCCTTTCAGCAGTCCCCAAAAGGTACCACACCCGTTTGCATTCCGATTCAGGATCCCTGAGGATACTGATAAACCTCCAAGTGGCCTCAACAACTCAAGGTAGTTCACCGCCAACCTTCAGAGCGTTAACGACCATCCAGCTGCAAAAAAAATAAACCTTTCCATTCCCCTGAGAACCAGCTGACTGCAGAGCGCATAAATCCTTCCATTCTGCACCCTTCAGACAGAACCGAAGAAGTTTTCTTGGATGAGAAGTGAAAGATTTTCAAAGGGGAAAAAAACAATCCCAAGGAAGTTCAGTTGCCTTTTGAAAAGGATTCAGTTGGATGCTGCAGAAGGTTAGGAAGATAAACAGCCCTTCAAGGTATGAATTTGTGCAGGAAAACCTGGGAATTGCCTCTAAAAAATGGTCATATACCAAGAGGAATGGAAACAGCTGCAATTAACAGGAAACGTTCCTCGATGTGCATGTCGTCGGAAGGGCTCTTGAAAAGACACCCTTGTATTCAGGTAAGGCTAGCTTCAAAAGACATCATGAGAATAGAATTCCTTATTGGCCTTGTGCACAATACACAAGGAAGAACTGTTCTTTTCTACTTTTGGGGTGTGCTCTCTTGCCCCCCCATACAGAGATGTTTAAGCAAATTATTCTGAAATGATTATCCCCCCCCGCGCGCCCCACCCCTCGAAAAAATAAATAAAGCAGCATGCAAAATCTTTGATCATCATCTATCCCTAACCTGTTCTTCCTTTTAACATCAATCTTCCAATTTGAAAAAATCTGGGCGTCTTCTAAACTAAGACCATGGTGCTGTTTATTCATTGTTTTGGGAAACTTTCTGGTTTGTGATTCGACCATGCCCCTCCCTTTTTCTTCCTCTCTCTCTCTCTCTCTCCTCTCCCTTTTTCTCACTCTCCCTCCCTCCTTCTCTCCCTTCCTCTCTCTCTTTCCTCTCCCTCTCTCTTTTTTTCTCTCTCTCTCCCTCCTTCCTTACCCCCCTTTCTCCCTCTCGCTTTCCTCTCCCTCCCTCCCTTTCTCTCTTTCCTCTCCCTCTCTTTTTCTCTCTCTCCCTCCCTCCCCTTTCCTCTCTCCCTCCCTTCCTCCCTCCCTTTCTCTCTCTCTTTCCTCTCCCTCTCTTTCTCTCTCCCTCCCCTTCTCTTTCCTCTCCCTTTTTATCTTTCCCTCCCTTTCCTCTCCCTCTTTTTCTCTCTCCCTCCCTCCTTCCTTCCCTCCCCCTTCTCTCCCTCTCTTTCTTTCCTCTCCCTCCCTCTCTATCTCTTTCCTCTCCCTTTTTCTCTCTCCCTCCCTCCTTCCTTCCCTCCCTCTCCCTCCCTCTCTTTCCTCTCCCTCCCTCCCTCCCTTCTCTCCCTCCCTCCCTCTCTTTCCTCTCCCTCTCTTTTTCTCTTTCTCTCTCCCTCCTTCCCCCTTCTCTCCCTCTCGCTTTCCTCTCCCTCTTTTTCTCTCCCTCCCTCCCTCCCCTTTCCTCTCTCTCTTTCCTCTCCCTCCCTCCCTTCTCTCCCTCCCTCCCTTTCTCTCTTTCCTCTCCCTCTTTTTCTCTCTCCCTCCCCTCCCTTTCCTCTCCCTCTTTTTCTCTCTCCCTCCCTCCTTCCTTCCCTCCCCCTTCTCTCCCTCTCTTTCTTTCCTCTCCCTCCCTCCCTATCTCTTTCCTCTCCCGTTTTCTCTCTCCCTCCTTCCTTCCTTCCCTCCCTCCCTCTCCCTCCCACCCTCCCTCTCTTTCCTCTCCCTCTCTTTTTCTCTCTCCCTCCCGTTCTCTCCCTCTCCCTTTCTCTTTCCTCTCCCTTTTTCTCTCTCCCTCCCTCTCTCTCTTTTTCTCTCCCTTCCTCCTTCCTTCCCTCCCCCTTCTCTCCCTCTCTCTCTCTCTCTTTCCTCTCCCTCCCTCCTCCCTCTTTCTCTCTTTCCTCTCCCTCTCTTTTTCTCTCGCCCTCCCTCCTTCTTTCCCTCCCCCCTCTCTCTTTCCTCTCCCTCCCTTCCTTCTCTCCCTCCCTCCTCCCTTTCTCTCTCTCTTTCCTCTCCCTCTCTCTTTTTTTTCTCTCCCTCCTGCGTTTTGAAAGGTTTTTCGTTCTGGAACCGTTGGAAGAAGGCGGACGAAATAGGGGAGTGGGGGGGGGGACACCACGAGAGGCAAGCGGACAAAATCTCTCTGCAAGAGACGCTCCAAACCGCTGGCTTAACCCGCCCGCTCTTTAATTGGGTGGCGGGGGGGGAGAGGATTATAAATTCAATTAGACCCCCCCTCTCTCTCAGGATCGGGCGCTTCCTTGCTTTAGGATCGGGCTGCGCTCAGCCACGCGCTTCCACACCACCACCACCATCACCCTACTTGGCGCGCGCCACTTTTGGGAAACGCCAGCCAGCCACTTGCGCTCGGCGGGATCCGGAGGTTTAGGATAGATAGAAGCGCAGAGGCGCCCCTGGCTTGGGCTCTCTTTTTCTCTGCCCCGGCTCTCCGAAGGGAGGGCGGCCCAGCAAGTGGGGGGGGGATTTGGGCCACCCCCGCCGCCAAGGAGGCCGGCGGGAGCCCCTCCGCCTCTCCGCAGCAGGCGGCAAGGGCCGGGGGCGGAGCGGCGAGGCGAGGCGAAGCGAGGCGGCGCTTGGCTGGCGGAGACCGATCGAGGGCGCGGCGCGCCTTCCACGCTGCGCTCGCCTAGCCGGGCTGGAGTGAAGCTGCTCGCCGCTCCGACGGGACTCCGGTGGGGTTGGCCATGGAGCCGCGCCCGGCGAAGGGCGGAGGATCTGGTCCGGATTTGGGTTTCGTCGGAGCCTCCTTTCCGCCCAGGGTCGTCTCCTGAGCCGGTGAGTGGTCCGCGAAGGGCGCCCCGACGGGGCGGAGGGGGGTTTAATCTGCCGGGTTGTCTGAAACGAGGAATGGCCGTTTGGGACACGGGAAGGCGTGTGTGTGTGTGTGTGTCTGTGTGTGTGTGTTAACAGTAAGGGGTTTTCGATTTGGTTCCACCGATGGCTTTCCCGATTGGGTCAATTCCCACGTGCAATCTTTGCCCCGTGTCAGGTTTCGGGTTCCCGCAAGAGTCTTGCTTGCAGTTGAACGCTCATTCCCGGCGTCTTTAATTTAATCAGAATAGAGCCGGACGGGACCTTGGAGGTCGTCTAGTCCAACCCCCTGCTCAGGCAGGAAACCCTATACCATTTCAGACAAATGGCTGTTCAGTCTCTTCTTAAAAACTTCCTGTGTTGGAGCATTCACCGCTTCTGGAGGCAGGTTGTTCCACTGGTTAATTGTTCTGAATGTTAGGAAATTCCTCCTTAGTTCCAGGTTGCTTCTCTCCTTGATCAGTTTCCATCCGTTGTTTCCATCCGTTGTCTTTGTCCACCCGAAACTCTTGAAGCTGGCCAGACTCTGTCCATGCCTCCAAGCGTTTTTGCCTCTGCTTTGGACGATGGGGGTGTGTGCATTTTATTTTATTTCCAACCCTGAGAAAGGCAAGGGATGGGTGTGTCTGGGCAGTGTGATACGGTGGTGTTTGTTGTAATTCAGCTCCACTTCTGGGGTCTTCTGTTCCTGTGGGACTTCAGCAACCATCCGTCCCAGCCAGGCTGGCTTGACAAAAAACAAGATGCGGAGGCCCCAGAAAGAGTGCAGAGAAGAGCAACTAAGGTGATAAAGGGTCTGGATGAACGATTCATATGATGAATGGTTGAGGCAACTAGCAATAGAATAGAATAGAATAGAATAGAATAGAATAGAATAGAATAGAATAGAATAGAATAGAATAGAAGCTGGAAGGGACCTTGGAGGTCCTCTAGTCCAGCTCCCTGCTCAAGCAGGAGAACCTATACCAACTTTAGTTGACTGTGTTCAGCAGGTCAGCGGTTCAAATCTCACCGGCTCAAGGTTGACTCAGCCTTCCATCCTTCCGGGGTAGGTAAAATGAGGACCCAGATTGTTGGAGGCAATGTAAATATATATAGACATTGCTTAGTGGTGTACACCGCTTAGAGAGTGCTTGCACTTAAAGCGGTATATAAGTCTCATAAATAAAATAAAATAAAAAATCTCAGACAGGTGATTGTCCAGTTTTTTCTTGAAAATTTCCAGTGATAGAGCGCCCACGATTTCTGAAGGCAAGCTGTTCCACTGATTGTCCTCACTGTCAGGAAGTTTCTCCTTAATTCCAGGTTGCTTCTCTCCTTGATCAGTTTCCAACCATTGTTTCTTGTCCTGCCCTCTGGTGCTTTGGTGAATAACATGACCCCCTCTTCCTTGTGGCAGCCCCTCAGATACTGGAAGACTGCTATCATGTCTCCCCTATTTCTTCTTTTCTTTAGAGTAGGCAAACTCAAGTCCTGTAGCCGTTCTTCCTATGTTTTAGTCTCCAGGCCTTTGAATATCTTAGTTTCTCTTCCCTGAATTTTTTCCAAAGTCTCAACATCTTTTTTGTGATATGGTGACCAAAATTGGCTGCGGTATTCCAGGTGTGGTCTTACTAGGGCTTTGTAAAGCCGTACAAGTACTTTGCGTGATCTTGATTCTGTGCCCCTGTTTATACAACCCAGGATTGTATTAGGTTTTTTTGGTTGCTGCTGCACACTGCTGGCTCATAGTCAAGTGATCCAAAGACCCTCTCACAGTTACTGTTGAAGAGAAGGTGACATAACAGCATCTTCCAATACTGTCACTGGGAAGAGGGGAGTCCATTTACCCTCCAAAGCACACCTGAGGGCAGAACAAGAAGCAATGGACACGGGAAGGCGTGTGTGTGTGTGTGTGTGTGTGTTCAGAGGGAGAACCAACATGGAAATCACGAGGAATTTCCTGACACTGAAATCCACTGATCAATTGAACAGCTTGCCCCTCTGAACTTTGGGTGCTCCATCCTCAGAGGTCTTCAAGAAAAGATTGGACAACCAATTGTCCAGGATAGTATGAGGACTCTTGCTTTGGGCAAGACGTTGGACTAGAACAGTGGTTCTTAACTTGGGCGATATTGCCCCCCAGGGGGCGATTTCATTTTTCAGGGGGGCGATGAAACAAAAAGGGGTGACGCGGGGACGAAGGAACAACAAGGGGGCAATATGGGGGTGATGGAGCGAGAGGTTTTGGGGACACTTTTGAGACTTTTTCGTACAGTGAATCACTGTATATCTGATGGAGGGGGGAGCGCTTCTTTCGAAACATTGCATGCTGAGTGGCTCTGTAAAACATTTTGTATTGTATTTTTTTTAGCGTGCGCTCCAGTTCGATATTATATTTTCTTTGTGTCTTTTTAATCCTTTTTACAGTGTGCGTGACTATATATGCTTTCCTCGAATCTTAATTTAGTTTCAGAGTTTTCGTCTTGAAATTCATAGTTCCTGCACTGCGGTTTGTTCTTATGCCCTTTTTATATTTCTTTTTGCATCTTAAATTTCACTTGTAGTTCAATCATTAAATGTTACTGTTTTTCTTTTTGGGCATTTCACTTTCTTGCAATTGGATTTTGTTTTCAGTGGTCACTACATTTAAGTGAATAAATAAGATAATAATGAAATACATGTATCATGAAGTTTGGGAATAAAGTGATGGATGGCACCAAACATTTTTCACACAGTTGAGATATGGGAAAAAGACTGGAAATAAACTATGTGCATCGATATGTCCTGATGACAATTTTAAGGAAAACAAAAAAAGTGTTTGCATAAATTGAAGAATTATTTCCTATGTTGTGATTGAGAGGTTATGTTGGGGGAGGGGGGCGATGACAACTTCCTCATTGGCTCAAGGGGGTGATTCGTTCAAAAAGGTTAAGAACCACTGGACTAGATGACCTCCAAGGTCCCTTCCAGTCCTATGGTTCTCTGTTTTAAGCTCAGGTGTCATACGTTTTCTAGTTTAAGTCACCCATTTAGCAAAGGATTCCGCTGTAGGATGGGATTACTGCTTGTGATAACCATACTGTTAAGGTGCCTTTTGGATCAAGATAAATGTGTACTGGGCTCTTGCCTAAATGAAGCTCTTTTCATCCATCAGCTGAATGCTAAATTATAAGCAAGTGCCTACATCTGCAAAACCATCAAAGTCAACCTATCAAAAAAAAAAAAACCATACCAAAACAAAATCTTAATGGAGACAGAAATTAAGGAACTCCATATTTGATGCAAATGAAACCATTAAGTACTTTAAATGACTCCATTTACAAGCCAGGCTATGGAGCTTGGGAATGAGGACCCTGTAGCGTATTTGCAATAATTGCAAAACAAGGGGATTTTTGCATATGTTTTGGGGGGGGGGGATTTAAGATAGTAGTCATCCAGTATTTTGAAAGGCTGCCACAAAGAAAAGGGGATCAGCTTATTTTCCAATGCACCTGAAGGCAGAACAAGAAGCAACGGATGGAAATTATCGAAAGGGAGAGCCAACCTAGAACTAAGGAGAAATTTCCTGATAGTGAGAACAATTAATCAGCGGAACAACCTGCCTCCAGAAGTTGTGGGTTCTCAAATCACTGGAGGCTTTTGAGATTTATTTATTTATTTATGAGACTTATATACCGCTTTAAGTGCAAGCACTCTCTAAGCGGTGTACACCAGTAAGCAATGTATATATATATTTACATTGCCCCCAACAATCTGGGTCCTTGTTCCAGACAAACAAGCGTTTGTCTGGAAGGGTATAGGGTCTCCTGCTTGAGCAGGGGGTTGGACTAGAAGATCTCCAAGGTCCCTTCTAGTTCTATTCTGACTAAGATCCTCTGGTCCTGGGGAGCATTTTTCTCTCTCTGCTACTCCGCATTGTTACGGCATTATCAGCAAACCTTCAGGATGACATGGGAATCGCTCTGTTTGATCAAAGAAAGGAATGCAGGAGAGAGAGAATTATTTTGTCTGGCTACCAAAAGACTGCTTCCTTGTCTAGTTTGTAAATAGCTAACATTTCTGAACTCTTGATCTTTGTCTCCAAATTCTTTAGCATTCAGGCTTGTAGGAAAATCTGAAAATTGCTTGTTGGGTTTATTGTATTCCTGATCTTGGCAAACTGATTTATGTGACAAGCTTCTGTGACCAATTGAGGTTGGACAGCCTTTAATATTGAATGGCCAGATGGACTATTTACTATGGAATTGAGCCCTTCCATCTCTTGAACTTGTCTGAATATCGATACTCTTGAATAGTTCTGGTTAAACCGAAGCTGGGAAAATGTTAATAATCTTGCATCAATCACATTCGGTTTTGTCATGCCTGCATTGAGACCTTCAAGTCTTCACTGTAATTCAGCAAGGGGAATCTGAATTCTTCTAAATAAATACATTTGGCTGCTGTCCAAGGTTCTGAATGCATTCCAGCATTTGAAAATGATTAGGTTGTTGGCAACATGGTTTATCCTTGACTGTGGAGTCAACTTGGAGCTGTTATCCAAGGTCTTGAATGCACAACAGTATTTGAGAGTGATTAGGCTGTTGGCTACACAGTTTATCCTTGAAACTCTACTCAGCTTGTAACTGCTGTCCAAGGTCCTGAATGCATTATCAGCATTTGAGCATGATTAGCTTGTTGGCTACATGGGTCATCCTTGAATTGTAGTCAACTTAGAGTTGCCATTCGAGTTCAAGTCATTAGCTCAGTCATCTCCACATCCAAGGAAGGATTAGAATGTCTGATTTTAGTTGTCTACATAGGTTCAGGTTTATTAATGCAAAGTTTATAATGCAAATAATATGAATGTAATGCAACAACAGAAAGTGGGATGTTATTTTTGTCATAAATTGATTTAGTGGTTTTGGCATACAGGTGCTGTTGTGTTATAAATCTGTTGTCATCATTGTGACTGTAAAGGTTTCAAAAAGAATGTGCATCAACTT